TCCTTTTCAGGAAACTGGCCTTCTAAAGAGCAGTCAAGGTTGATCTCTAAGTTTGACCGGTTTGATCACCTTGCAGTCCAAGGGACTCAAGAGTCTTCTCCAGCACCATAGTTAAAAGGCTTCAATTCTTTAGCACTCAGCCTTCCTTATAGTCCAACTTTCACAGCCATACATTGCAACTGGGAAAACCACAGCCTTGACTACACACACTTTTGTTGGCAGGGTGATGCCTCTGCTTTTTAGTATGCTGTCTAGAATTGCCATAGCTTTCCTCCCCAGGAGCAATTTTTTTAAAAAAAATTATTGGCTGCAGTCCCCATCTGCGGTGATTTTCGAGCCCAGGAAAATTAAATCTGTCACTACCTCCATTTCTTCCCCCTCTGCCAGGAATTGAGAGGGCCAGATGCCATGATCTTAGTTTTCTTAACATTGAGTTTCAAATCAACTTTTGCACTCTCCTTCTTCACCCTCATCAAGAGATTGATGAGGGTGAAGAAGGAGAGTGCAAAAGTTGATTAGCTCCTCTTCACTGTCTGCCATTAAAGGTAACCATGAGTGGCTTATTATTACATTTAAATCCCATTATTCTAAATGCTCAAGGCTCAAAGGAGAATTTAGAGGTCATTGTTAGAAGCAATCAGGCAAAAATTCATTGTATACAACATCCTAGTAATTTACAAAAGATCACTAAGTTCAGAACACTTCAAATAATGTGTCACATTGAATTTTAATGTCATTTTTTAAAGAAATAAAATATAAAAAATTGAGAGAACACATGGTATATTAAAGAAAATTACATTTATTGTAAACAAGTATAAAGTACATAAGAAATCTTGTGCAAAATCTTAAGTAGTCACAAAATAGATATTATAATACTCTCTATAATTTTATATTTATTCAATATAGTAAGAGAATTGAAAAAATGATGGCAAAATCACTGTATACACACCTAGGATTGATGACTTGACTTTCTTTGCTTCATAAGCAATCCATCATTTTCCAAGTTTATGTCATTTTAAATTATCTATAACATATAAAGGTCTATTTCTATTGTAATCTATTTTAGAGAAATTTCAGGAAGTAACATAGCACACTGCTTTTGTTCTTCCTGGAGAATAAAGCTTTTGTAACTCTTAAATTATCCTTTAAACAAAGTGCACTGTATCAAGGTTTCAATGATATAGAAATTTAAATGTATAAAAGAAACACATAACTTAAACACACAAGTAACAAAAGATGCTGAAGTACAGCTAATAGTACTAACTGTGATGCTTTCAAAGTAGTAAAATTTTGTCTTTAGAATAATCCAGCCGTATGACACCACTTTCTCAATGATATACTTAAGTTATACAGAATTGCTAAATTAGTTATACTTTATATACCAGGAAATGAAGATACATATGCTTAATCTCAGGAAGTTTGATAACCACATTCCCATCATTATTCACAACTGAGAAAACAACAAGTATTTCTACTTAAAATTTTCAGCATTCTAGTATTACTGGAATTTATCCCTGATTCTGTACCATAAACTGGGAGTCTGCATTTTGTTTGCAACAGCGCTGAAAACATTCCCACATCCTAATGTCTGCATCTCCCTCTAGTTTATACTCAGCTACAGAAGACACAGGAATAGCTCTTTCATCAACTGGCATTGACATTTCCATGCCTCCTTTCTCCCAAAATGCCTACTACCCTATATATCACAGCCAAGTTATACAGGTAGCCATTGCCTGTTTCAATGCAATGCCAATCTGATAAGTGTAGAACCACAGACTTATTCTGCAATGTTTTTTCACATTACCATTGGTACCAGTTGTACACTGGGGAAAAAAAAGAACTAATCAGCCTCTTTAGACAAAGTTACTTCATTGATCAGCCACAGACGTATGCGGCGTAACAATATCATTTAGCTTGCTCACTTCCATCTGCCAGTTTGGTAATTTTTTGGCTGACAAATGGCGACGTGCATGTTTTGTTAAATGGTCACTCCTCATGAATCGCCGACTGCACATTGGGCAGGCAAATTTTTTCTCTCCTGTATGTGTTCTGCGATGGCGAGATAGTTCGTCAGAGCGGGCAAATCTCCTCTCGCAGCCTTTCCAACTGCAGCTAAATGGCTTTTCTCCTAAAATACAAAATGAGGAATTAATGGCACATGTTTTTTATTAGCAGGGTACAAACCTTTATTAATACCAGAGAATATTTTTTTTCTGTATCCATTTATAAGCAAATATATTTTTTAAAAGCAATAATGGCATCATAACCCAAGGAAAATCTTATATGGTATCTACTATATTCTTCAGTTCCATATAATCAGAATACAAATTATAATTGTCTCCAAGTTACACCTTGCATATATTCTTTATGTTAAATGATACTTTAGTACAATCTGTGAAGATTGACATTAGCTGTTTTATTCTGAGCAGAAGGAATCTAACTTTCAAATTATAAATCTGACATGCTCCTTGTCTTCAAGTGAACTTTTATTTGATACCATGGTTTCTCAAAAAACATATAGACCAAAACCTTTGGAAAGAGTTGCATAGGTGAATAACAGCAATTCTCCCCATCATGTTAATGTCAAGAAATTCATGTAGAATTTTTTCACACTAGACAATTCCACAACTTACCTGTATGTGTTCTAACATGTGCCTTTAAATGGGAGCTTTTGAAATATGTTTTTCCACAACCCACGTAGTTACAAACATGGCTTCTTGTTCTGAGAGAGTCAACAGATGGAGTGATCTTTGTGGCAGGAGGTGCCAAGCCTGGAGCAGGAGCAATAGGAGACAGTCTGGTGCTGTGAGGACTAGTCACCGGAGCCTTGGCATTCTGCACAACAGTTTG